ATCAGAATATTGCTGATTAGCTTGTATCCATATTTGAATTGAAGCCATTTTTTTCCTTCCACAATGCAGTAGTTAGGTGTTGATCAGTCCACTTTACTAATCTATACCTCAAATGAACTTGTGCAGATGGGAGTTGGAATGTTGTCTGGCTTAAAATCTTTTTGAAGTCGTGTCTAGGACGATCCTAGCTATCGGCTGTCGCACTGCCCGTTTTTTTGGAGAGAAGTAGACTGCAAACTTGTTTCGACTTCCATATCAAGTAATTCATAACCTTTTTTGACTTAAAATACTGTATCATCGTTGTTGTATTCAATGTTGTTGGCTCAAACAGACATTAAAAAAGGCACTGCCAAGTTTTTCAATGGGTGGGTGAAGAAGAACAAAAGTGTATGAATATCTGCATCTGAACACAAGACCATGGCAGTGCACTAATACTCTACAGATTTTGGGCTTTTGGAATCAAGCCTTTAGATACAGAATTTTCACGGGGAAACTTGAGGCCAAGAACTGTTTCCCAAGCTTGTAAGCATGAAATTGATTTTTTTTTTTTTTTTTTTTTTTTTTTTGTTCCTTTATAGCTTGTAATTTACAAAGCCCATAATCGGCTTAAAACTTGTACTTAGCACAGTAGTTTCTTTCAGATGTACAGCTGAAGTGTCGGTTCTTTTGTTCCTTCTAAACTCTCTCTTTCTCTCCATATCCTTTTTCTTTCTCATATTTTAAGAATCAGCCATTGATTGTTGGGTAGTCCTGCCTATTGTTCTTTATTTTAGTAGGAAGCTGCTTTTGTCTGTAATCATCATGTGTTATGAGCATCATCAGCACTCTATATAGGTATGCATCAATAATAATTGTCAGAGGTTCATAGTGTTTGAGTCGACTTTACTAACAATATCATGATGTTTTCTTCTGGAGCAGATTGCATTCAAAGTGTTCAGCCTTTTGAGTGAGGGCTGTCAGTATGGTTCTTCAATGCATTCCCTTATTCTAATCAATAGCTTGTTTGTGGTGGGTATCTGATTATCCTTTCAACTCAATTGCATAGGATTTTAATGTTTTTTTGAACTGATAGGTCGATTCCGGTTGTTTTATCTATTGAACTATGCTCGAATTGTATTCACAGATTTACTCTACTTGGATATTGGGAAGGCCGAGTAAAGTGAAACTGATAAATGTAAGCACTCGTATCTCGATCAGGTATATAGATGAGTGATGCAATGTATATTGTATATTAAAGTCTACGTTCTTAGTTAAGATGTTCTCATCTTTAAATGCTTGGTTGAATTAAAAAAAAAAAAAAAAAAAAAGGAAAGAATATAATTGACTTGAAGTTGATATATTGAATTAAAGCTATTTATTTACGGATGATTCCCGATAAGATAAGAGATTAATTTAAAGCTATTTTTACTTCTCACGAGAATATGTTGAGAAGGATGTAAATTAGATTTGATTTCAATAGTTGGAATGAATTTATTAGGTTTTAAATTTATATTATTATTATTATTTTGTATTTATTGGTGTATATTATTTGTTAACGATACCTAACTTGTAGCTTCACTAAATGAAGAATGAGATTCCAATTTTTTTAAGAATGAATAAATAAAAATAAAAAATTAATTTCAATATCTTAACTTTTATTTGTCTTTTAAAAATATTTTATTCTCTTTTTGCCTTTTTCTTTGTGATAATCTCTGTATTTATATTTGATAATTTGTTTTATTTATTTATTTTTCCTTTTCTTTTTTGGCGTAAATGATTATTGCGTTTGGTTGTCGTAAAATATACGACTTTAATTTACTAAAGTCATGAAAATTATTTCATAAAAAATTGAAAAATACTTTAGGTTAAAAAAATATTTTGTGGTCCAATTTAATACTTTAGGTCAAGAAAGTTTATAAATCTTTGGTCAAGTCAAACATGGAAAAGAAGAGAAGGGTTATTCTTTTTTTTTAATAACAATAATTTTTAATTTTTTTTAAAAAATTTATTGTTGTAGTCAAGGAGGAGAATAAAATAGGAAAAAAATTCTAAATTTTATTCTCTTTTTAAACCTGTCTATTTTAGCTAATTTATTTAACCTACCAATTCTTACGTCTAATAGGGCTCTTATATCTTCATTCATGGCTGCTTGACACCTCTCCTCTCGTCTACCTTCTTCAAAAGTGATTATTTCAACATCTGTCTTGGATTAATCACTTCACGGTAGCGAACACAAGGTATGAGCGATGATCGACCTACCTTAACGCATACTAAAATTTAGAATCCAAATTACACATTTTATGGCCAACTTATCTTTATTGATGTCTTATTTAAGTCACTGAAAAAAAATGTACCAAAGTCACTGAAAAAGAAAATGTACATTATTGATATAGGTTGTGATTTTAGAGTTTTTCTTTATGTTTACACACTCTCAGAGATCCTCCTATTTAGATACAATGATAGTGAGTATATATTCTACGATAAGAAAAATTTAAAAATATTTTTTTTCAATTTTTGAAAAAAAAAAAGAGACTAGAAAAATAAAAAAAAAAGTTGTTACACCAATATTAAAGGGCAAACTTTAAAAATATGAAAAGAGGTCAGCTAATTACGAGCTTATACTATGAGACTAGTATACAAAAAAATAAAATAATAAAATAATACTGAGCAGTAGGATTCAAACCTGAGCAAGCAAAACCCACATGATTTCTAGTAGGCTGGTTAACCACTCCAGCAAGCACACAAGATTTGAGATGAGAGATGTTTACGGAAATTGAGTGATGAAAAATGAGGGGTGAAGGGCGAGGAAGAAGGCATTGACCGAATCAGAAGGAAGCAAAAATGGGATGGGAAGCAAATAGGCAGAGGCTCTGGGAGGTTCGTAACCGGAAACGGAAAAGAAAGGCAGCAGAGAGCCGAATTTGTTAATATAGTTGTGTTTTCAAACCGATCAAAACCAAAATGACCACCTCATATTGCTTTCTCCTTCCCACGTTTGATTCTCGCATCCACCCCTTCAATCCCCTCTTTTTTGTTCTGGATCCAGCGGTGCCGGCTGCTCTTTCTGTTGATGGTAGCATCGCCGGACGGCACCCATGGGAGGAGGGCGGACGTCGACGGCACCTTCCAGAAATGTCATGGTGGTGGTAGATCCAGCCCGGGAGTCCGCCGCTGCGCTCCAGTATACGCTTTCCCATGCTCTCGTTCAGAACGACGAGCTCATTCTCCTCCATGTCGATAATCCTAATTCTTGGAAGAACGCGATCTCGACTTTCCTCAAGAGGCCCAATGAAAAATCCGCCAATGCTCATGCTTCTGCCATTGTCCCTGCCACTGCCACTGCCACCGCCACCGCCGCCGCCGCCGCCGCTTTCGGCTTCCAAGGAGGACCACAAGTGGAAGTCGATTTTCTTGAGGAGATGAAGAAGGCCTGCAAGATTGCTAATCCCAATCTCAAAGTGCGGACGGTGAGGGTTGAATTGGAAGGCAAAGACAAAGCCTCCATGATTATGGCTCAAACCAATGCTCTCGGTGTTGATCTGCTAGTCATAGGGCAGAGGCGAAGTCTCTCCACAGCGATCTTAGGGTTTGTCTTCTTCCCTTCATCATAATTGTCAATTTTAGCTTCCCATTTTCGTCCATTCATCATTTCCATTGATTCTCGAGCTTTCCATACAATTATCATAGCTCCTAAACTGAGATTGCCTTAATAAATGAATGAGATGCTTCTGAATAAGTATGATCATGCATCCAAAATCAAGAAGATTAGGGTTTTTGTTTTCATTTGTTGTGAATTCATTAAACGCAGTTATAAACGGTCTGGAGGGCCAATGAAAGCGGCAAAAATGTTGGACACAGCAGAGTATTTGGTTGAGAACAGCAAGTGCACTTGTGTTGCTGTACAAAAGAAAGGTCAAAATGCAGGCTATCTCTTGAACACCAAAACCCAAAGAAACTTCTGGCTCTTGGCTTGATATCATAATATCAACTCCCTTCACCATTTTCCATTCTCCTCAATCCACCATTGTTTTCAAATTCATCACTCCCTCTCCTCACCCTTTCTCTTGTTTCAAAATCAAACTCATTGGCTTTCTCTTTGTCTCTCCTTCCCCCTTTGAGATCAATTTCAAGTTGATTCGTTCATCATCTCCAGGCTTGGTTTGGATTGGACACCCTCTTCTTCTTTCTTTCCAGGCAGTGCATCAACACAATCATTTGTACATAACTTTTGGACCCACAGAAATTAACCAGCTGAAAATGAGTTAACCCCACTGTCCTTTTTCTGTAATGCTTTCCTTTTATCTTTTGCTTCAAAGAATTCATTTGTTAACCATGTTCTTGTTGAGCCATTTGGTTTTATCTTTGAAATTGTAATTTTGTTCGACGTGGTGAAATCAGTACTCTTTTCTTAAGGGCCAAGCTAGAAAATTGTTCTAAAGCCCACCTTAGCCGCCTCTGATTTCACAAATCCAAAACCCAGCTATGAAATGTTTAGATCCACCAATACCCAGTCAACTAGTAAGAACTATCCAAATGGAACAGGAAAGTGTAAAACCCAACTACCATAGCATCCACTCTCATCTGGTAGCAAAAAATGCCTACATCTGTTCCTTATGGCTCAAAATACGAGGAAGCTTCATAGCAAGAAGGTATCTACTTCATCACTCATTGAGGTTCATGATTCATGCCAAAACCGACTCATTTAGACGAGTTGAGGAAAAAAAAATGAAGTAAAAAGCTCTATTTTCTTTGTTTCGTTATTGTATAAAATTGTTTGTTCTTATCGATATTGAAATAAATGAAATTTCAAAGTTTCATAGAATCTCGACATTCTTATCTCTATCTTATCTGTATTGAAATGAAATAGAATTTTAAGTCGAATATGGTTCATTTGGTTGATAGGATCTGTCTGAATTTATCTTTTTATTGGCGTGGCAAGTCCATTTCTTAAATTGACTTCCATTCCAGCAATCTCCTTTCCCAACAAAACTATTCATTGCGTTGAATCCACGCCAAGTAACTTCTCATCCTACCAAGTTACCAAAATAATGTTGAACTAAATCAAGCAAGGAACAGAGGTTGCGTAGAATGAAAGTTTTGTTAGTTGAACAATGCCTATACACTTCCTGCATAAAAAAATTTGATCCTATCTGCTGCTGTAAACTATGGAGTTATAACTGCAGAAGAGAACAGAAAGAAACTGCAGCCTATGTTGAATTATGAACAAACAGTCACATTATCTGATAAGATATTGGACGTGCCGAAATTTCGGTGCTTTCCATCAGCAACATTAGTTAGCTGTAACCCATGATCAGGAAGTCGATTGATGAGAAGTGTTTCGAGCTGGCACGCCAAGCTCTTCCCAGGTACTATAAAATAAAGAAATGCAGCATCCCGCATTCCTTCTTTTAAACGATGCGAATGGACTCGACCCTCCAGATCATCAGTCTATGACAGGGAAAGAAGACGATAGTTCAGTTCAGTATGCGATACATAAATTCCAATAGAATTGAACAATGAACTCAGAGCACATACAAAATTAGTCAAGATGGCTCACAACAATGTGATGAAAGATCATAAATAAAATAGCAAGTCAGGGCGTACCTGTCCGACGTAGAATTTACCATCTGGTCTAAGAATCACATACACACTCGAAGCACCGACGGTCGATGGAGGTGGCTTCTCTCTAGCATCAATCAGAACACATTGGATTTCTACAGGTTTCAATGTGTTTTTATCCTTATGAAACTCCATCATCTTCTTTTGGCATATTGCAGTGATAGCACTCTGAATTTCCTTCCAGGAAAAAACTTTTTTCTTAGATCTCTCTGTTTTTGCATGAGAAGAATTTGAGAGATACAAATTCATCTTCTGTTTTCCTGGAATTCCTTGTTCAACATAATTTGAGAGATACAAATCTTGAGCCCTTTGAATTATAGTTTCAGAGATTCCTTCGTTCTTTGCTGTTTCAAAGGCAAGGCTCTCTCTACATATTCCACTAATCAACTTCCAAGTGGGAACCGTTCGGCCATCGGTACAGACAGTACCCATTGCTTTGAACACAGTGTTATTGATATCTAAAGGCAAATTGAATATACCATGCAAGTGAGTGGAGACGATGCCAAGGCACCCAACTTTATCAAGAGCTTCAACAATGCTCCCTGCAATACAAGTGCCCTTTGCTGTTTCTGTTCCTCGACAGATTTCATCTATAAGTACGAGGCTGCTTTCCGTTGCTCTACTCATGATGGATCTCATCTCTGACATTTCCACCTGAAACATAATCATCGTGAAATCAAGGAATATTTATGAATTTAACAAATTTAATGACTTATCTTTGGAGCTCACACTCACTGAACAAACTCAAAAACAACATTTCTTAAGTCAATGCAAAGACTTCAAGTCTTCCAATAAGATGACCACGTCCAAATACCCATCTGATTTCTCTTTCGGGCTTTCCCTCAAGGTCGAGAGAGAGGTTTCCACACCCTTATAAGAAATGTTCCGTTTCTCTCTCCAACTGATGTGAGATTTCACAATCCACCCCCTTGAGAGCCTAGAGTCCTCGCTGGTACACCGCCCAGTGTCTGGCTCTAATACCATTAGTATCAGCCCAAGCCCACTACTAGCACACATTGTCCTCTTTGAGCTTTCTCTCAAGATTTTTAAAACGCGTCTACTCATGAGAGGTTTCTACACCGACGTGGGATCTCACAACAAAAATCTGTCTATTCTAACTACAAAAGGCTAAAATCTTTGGGGTCTAGCCAATGCATCAACAAAAGCAGCAAATCACAATACCAAGCTGACCATCTTGAACTTGTTTACTCCTAAAAAAAACATCCTAATGTTCCAAAACACTATATACCAAGTAAGTTCTTAGCTTCAAGGATAACAAGATAGCTCAAAGGAGTCATATATTTCTGTTCGTAAACTCACTGTTCATACGAGTAACATTGCAATGGCTGCTTACCTGAAAAGAACTTTTCCCATCAGCAGGACTATCAAAAGATTTCATATGAAGCATAATAGAATCAAAATGGGGAATCAGGGCAGACTCTGCTGGCACCATAAATCCACATATTCCAAGCAAAGCAGCAGCACAAATGGATCGAAGCAAGCTAGATTTCCCACCCCCATTTGGACCCGTCAAAAGAAACAATGATTCCATCTCAATACTATTCTGCACAGCATTCCCTTCTATCACATCAAACCAATACGGAGATAGTCCAACCAGCTTCATCCCAACTTTCCCCTCCATTGATTTCCTGCCCTGCTTTTATTTTATAATCCAATCAGAATATGAAACCAACAACTAAAAACAAAATCATAATGATTCCCAACGACACGACCGAACAACTGGAACATTGGTCGCTAAAGAATACCTTGGACCTATCACTGGGTGCAGCAAGGGTAGGAAAAACCCATTTTCTCCTCCTCCCTTCACTTCAAAGCATTTAAAAACCAAAAACATTAATCAGCAGCTATACGAAGTTTTGGAGAATGAGTATCAATAACAGAAAAGGGTATTAAAAGCATATAGATTCAACCTCACATGAGCGAATAACGCCTTGGCGATAATGAGTAACATGGAAGCAAATATTAGAACGTTCATTTTAGCAAGCAATTCAGAAGAAAGTTGCCTCAGCAAATCCACTACTCTTGCTTTTGCTTTGGTGTTGGCCTCTTGGTACCTGAAGCAAAATAGATTTGTTCACTATTTATTCACTAAAAGATGATAATATATGATGAGAGAGGAGTTCTATTATAAACAAACCACATGCCTTGTTAAAGCATCTTCCACCTTCTTCGTCGTAAACCACTCGTCCCCAACCTTTTTACCCTTTGAATCAAGAGCAGGTTTCAATTGTTTAATTTCTTCTTCTCCAGGGCTTCCAGCCCATACAGCTGGTGCAAACCGTCTTCCTTTGAACCAGACAGATTGATTATCCCGAGCATACAATATTTCTCCCTTTGGACCTCCTAGCGGCGCAGTAGTAGCCTTGATTCTTGAAATGATCGGGACGAAATCTTCAGTAACCTGTATTAAACGACCATCAAGGACACTAACTGATAGAGTTTTTGATTGGCTGAAATGATCCAACTGAGTTACAAAAGGAAAATTGAGCGTTGTAAACATACTGCTAGAGACAGTGCTTCAGCTGCACTTTCTACTTCTGTACACACTTCTTCAATGTGAATCCTTTTCACACGACCTTTCCAAGAAGATTCCATATCCTCAAAAAAATCATTAGGAATGATAAAATAAGAACTGATTTTCTGATCGCTTTCGCTTTCATTATCGAGAAAAATCATTTCGCCAACTCTACTGGAAGCCCATTCACATTCGTCGACCTAAATAAAAACAAAAGAATAGAATGATGCTTGAGTATTAACGAAAATGATTTAAAAGTGGAGCCATTCGATAAGGCAACACGATGTTCCTTCGAGGCATACAAATGTAAACAAACAAATAACGTGACTTCATAATCACTACTGATCAAGCAGAGTTCAGTAAAAAAGTCGATGCCATGAAAGAAAAATGGCAGTTGAGAACGGTAGAAAAATAAATCGAACGAAGTGAGTTGCTACTTGTACTTACAAATGTTTCATAGTCAATTTTCAACCCAGTTGCCACAGATGAAGGATCCATCAACAATTTCAGGATATTGCTTAACTCGCAATTTTTATGCATGTGTAATATTTCGTCGAGTACGTTCTTCATTCTACAGAACTCAATATGATTGGCTTCCCTCATTTCCAGTAACTTCACGAGCTGCAACACGTATAGATACAAGTCAAATAGATTTATGCAATAGCCTATGCCTCGATCGGAAAGAACAGAACAGAATGGTTGAAAGCTAGAAAAAGGATGCTGCCTGTAGCATGTCGAACATATTTTAGTCGAACATTCGAACATTCACAATACCTTGGCGGGCGGAAAGCAAGTGAAGTCTGGAATTGCACATGTGACATTGCTCATAAGCCTGCATGTTGCTGACGCAAAAGAATAGGATTAAGAAAATGTTTTAAGGGATTTCAAACAGAGATAACCGAGAAGAATTGTAAAGAAAACAGCAATGTTTTAAGGGATTTCTGTTAGTTTTAAGGTATTTCAAACAGACAAAACCGAGAATAATCGTACAAGAAACAGTGAAGAGTGTTCTACGAACTTGTAAAATCACCAATGAACCCGAATGCTTAAGTTTATAGGTTAAGGTAAATTTAATTATCAACATGGTCGCAGAATCACCTTGAATAGTGGTCGCGATCTCATAAGCAGGAGGATTGAGAAGAAGATCCCTGATATACCTGCAAACGAAACACATATCAAAATACATATTTGTATGCGTGCATGAAATCACGGTTCCAACGACTGAAATTGTGTCTGTGACTAAGGTTGATAATGCCTCGTAATCAACAAACAAGAATTCGAAAACTATATATATATATTTATCAGTTGCGATTCTCTATAAAGGACCAGAAATGCCTTGCAATTTGAAATGTTCGAAGAACAACGAAGAGGAAATCTAGCGAAGTTCTTAGCAGACAACTATCTCGACATCAATTAAAAATTGTTCCGACTCACAATGCAGGAAGGCCAGCACAATTTGATGGAAGCAACACCTTCAACAAACACGGTATTCCCTCTGTTGGTATGGCACCTATATGCATTTGATGTATGAACATGCAGGTTAATATCAATTCAAATTGGTTTTGTTTCTGTGGAATCCAAGTGAAATAAAACTAACCAATCTGTGTTGCAGTTCCCAGTGTTAATGAATGTGGCCTATTTTCGGATGATATCGTAACGTTCCTAAATGTAACTTCATCATCAAGACCATAAAGCTCTTTAACCTGGGAATGATCAGAAAATGAAGTAAATTAACGTCAATACAGATAACACGTCCAGCTATGCTATCGATAGAAACAAAAGAGATGCAATGCAAACCTTAGACAAAAGATTAGTAAGAGGATTTCCATCGAACCACTCAAAATGTCTGGAATTACATTCCCCCCATAGCCGACCACCCTCACCAAATTCACCCCAGCGACAAGTACCTATAAGAAGCCGCTCGTGAAGTGATAAGCTTGTGCATGGCATCAAAACGACGGTAAATATTCTTTAAATGGCACAGATTGAGAAGCATACTTCTTCCAAAAATCAACAACCAAGAACCTATGCTACACAGTTCACACAATAAACAAAGCATCTGCTACCATATTTGACAATTTTTTTTATTTTTTTAGAGTTCTACACATTCAAACTGTACAAACCTGAGGAGTTGTTCCTTAATGAAGTGTGAAGAAATAAATGATGGTATTGACAAGTGCGCAGCTTAGTAACCAGGGCCTCCTCTGTCAAACCATCCTCTGACGAATATGTCTTCATGGTCTCTATGACAAGGCTTATGCAATAGCCTCTTGCAGATCGTGATATTCCTATGTGTTGCATTCAACATTGTAAGTAACAATGAGCTGATAAGACTCAAATATTACTCCATATAAAATGGCTTACTAAATAATAACTGAATGTACTAAATCACCTACCGACCACAGGCATTGGTTCTGGAAAGTCGAGATCATGATCAACCCCAACAAGCCCAAAGACATAGGGACTGCCCGGGTGTGCATGCCTGCGCACGCAAACAATCCCAGTCATTGAATCTTCTTCTTCCTTCTTCCTCTTTCATTCACAAGTAAACTTCCATATGAGGAAGTGCTTGAGCACCATTTTACAACAACTACTGGATTGCATATCCGGTAATATAAAAACTAAAATTTTGAGTTCAACCACAGCAAGAGTGGAGGATCGAACCATCAACGTTGGAGATCACAAAATATGAAGTTTTAGTAGACAATACCAAGTTATTGCATGAATTTACCCAGATATAAAACGTCCTTTGCGAGAACGAGCTTGCATTGGTCCTTGAACTTCTTCCACTATGCACTACAGGACCAAATTAAACAAACTGATAAGAACGATTAAAAGCTATGCTTCTCAAAAGAACTTGATGGAGTCCCAAGAAGGAAAGAGACATGAAATCCCTGGTCGAAGTATTACAATATTTCTCATAGGTGTTGAGCTTATTCATTTTTACAAAGAAAGGTTCAAACTCAAATTGCGAAAATCACTCGGATAATCAAATAAAAATAAGGTCATCACAGTTGCTCACCACTGAGAACCCGTTACGAGTCAGATCATCCAAAGTTTGACGAAGATTCTGCAAAGTGATTCTTTGATTAGAACAACAAGGATTAGATATCAAAAAAATCATGTGATCCATTTTTGGGACAAAATCCAATACCACAACAGGGCAACCAGCCTTTGGAATACTATCCATACGCTGACCTCCAAAAGGATTCAAACCAGCATATTCAACAAGTATGCAAGCATCTATTCCAATTGCTTCATAAAAATCTCCAACCTGTAGAGAAAGAGAGAAACAAATTGCTTTGTCATAAACTACGAAGAACCGCGAGTTCAAAATGATTATAAAATAATTTTGATTATAATAGAAGGGGAAAATCATACTCTACAAAGCAAAACTTCTCGAGGAAACTTAGCCTTAAACTGTAATATCTCCCAGTTAAGAGTTCCTTCTTTAAGACTGCAGTAAAACAGCAAGCATAGCGTATGACATGACATCTCCATAAGTCCTTTAGGCCCACCAAACAGGAAAATGATTCTCAGTATGCACATGCCAAGAAAGAAAAGCTTATCCCACAAGCTCACCTCCCATTTTTCAGGTTAATATCTAAACCGAGCAAATTGGAGAAGTCAAGCCTCTTAACCAGCTGAACCGATGACGGCTTCTTGCATGATTCCACCATCTAAAAATTCAAGGAAACAAGTACCATGAGACACAGCATATCAACAAGAATTAAGGCATCATCAAGATAATGGGAAGAGATAGTTCTTAATTTCAGCTAGTAGTTCACCTCTTTCCACCATGAAATGTGAGAAAGGAACTTATCGTCTTGGACATTATTAATATCCTTAAACTTCTTCGCAGCTTTGATGCTTCCTCCCGAATATTTTCTACCTTTTCCAAACTGCAACTTTTCAAGCTGTTGCCTTTCACTGTTTTTACGTGTAAAATTCCACGCGTTAGAATAACCAATGTGGAAAGCGTAGTGACTTCACTCAGTGGCTGTAACAGCCCAAGCCTACCGCTAGCAGATATTGTACTCTTTAAGCTTTCCCGATTTGGGCTTTCCCTTTCGAACTTCCTCTCAAGGTTTTTAAACACGTCTACTAGGGAGAGGTTTTCACACCCTTATAAGGAATGCAGATTCCCCTCTCCAACCAATGTGGGATCTCACAATCCACCCCCCTTGAGGGCCCAGCGTTCTCGTTGGCACATCGTTCGGTGCCTGAGTCTGATACCATTTGTAACGTCCCAAGCTCACCGCTAGTAGATATTGTCTTCTTTGGGCTTTCCTTTTCGGGCTTCCCCTCAAAGTTTTTAAATGCGTCTACTAGGGAGAGGTTTCCCCACGCGGATAAGAAATGCTTCGTTCCCCTCTCCAACCAATATAAGGATCGCATTCGTAAATTACTTCTGCCAACCAAAGAAGTCCCCGTGTAGAAAATGATACAATAACGAAAATGTTTACAGACAGAAAAGTAGTTCGATCCCCTGACTTTCAATTCAACAAGTTCAAACGTCCTCGAAAACAAGACTACAAGATACAAACAGGGAACTTCTCCCAGTGAAATTTTTACTAATTAAATTTTAAAAAATGTGAGGACTTTTCCTTTTTAGGATAAGAAAAAAAACCCCTAATTCTCCAAACTGTGACACGGGGTATTTCAAAGCATGTCGGACATGCACGACCGCCATTATCACATTTCTCGAGCTCTTCAGAGCATACGCTACAAAAATAAGTTCAGACTCTCAGTGGACACAAAGCAGGAGTAGAAATTACAATCTGCACACGAAACCCAGCATACCCAAATGAAGAAACAGAGACCCAAATCAGAAATATGACAGAAAAGACGAATAGTGAAACACCATAATGCATGAAATGAAACCAAGGAAGGGATAACCAGAGGAAGAGAAAAGGGGTATTACAAAAACGCCGGTGAGTGAGTAAATGGGGTGAAGTTGCGCGGAGGGAAGCCAATCAAAAGCGCCAAAAAACGCCACCGGGAGAAAGAAACGACGTTACGGGTGGCCACCCAGTACATGGCGGTGGATGATAATTATGCTTCTGAACCTCAATCTCCTTCTTGTTGGAAGTTCAGTGCTCTCCTTTCAAATGGGATTGTTCGCAACTCCTGGTTGCAGGAACTGAAAACCCTGGTTGCCGATTCTCCCGCCACAATCGTACAGAGACCCTGATTCCAAATAACCCTTCTGATGCCACTACCAATATGTATTTTTCAGACGAGAACGAAATTCAAAAATCACCTCTCTTTTAGTTAACATTAGTATTACTCAGAACAAGCGGACATTGTGGAGTTCATAATGTGTGTTACGGTTCATAAAAATTATACATTCATCTTCTAAGTTATATTCACATTTATTTTTAAAAAATTATCATTCACATTATAGATTATCATGTATAGTTAAAATAAATGATTGATTATCCATGTGAACAATTATTCCACCAAATACAAGGAGTATTTGGATCATTAATGTTTTTTTAATACGTGGTAAAGACTTTTTAGTTTTTTAAGTGTGTTTCTGATCCGTTCGAGTTTAGTTTTTTAAACATTTAAAAAGCCGTTCAAAACATACCGGCATTCATATTTCAAGTTGGTAGTAGTTCATAAGATCAAAAAGTCGATAGAGGTTGTTTATAATATTCAAACAAACCATTCAATCTTAATATAGTCATCAATCACATCCATCTCAAATCATCAACTTAACAGACAGACTTGAGATGCTATCAATGAGAAGAAGAACTAACGAGTCAGGGCCATGGGCAAAAGTTTTTAAGAGTATAAGAGAACATATTAGCATTACTCCAAAATGAAGTTTGAAACAGAGGACAAACACCAAGCAAAAGATGAAACCATCTTCACCTTCTTTAACATGTCAATAATCCAAATAGAAAGATACATTCGGACTCGATTCACAAACATAAGAAATGCACTCGTAAAAGACAGTCGACCAATGCAGCGAATACCAGCTTTCCCTTTGCGAAGAAAACAACTTTAGTCGATTTAAGCGAAGAGAGTCGTAAATCGTAGCCGAGTTCATAAGCCCGTAGGTAGCATTGTATAAGATGATTTCTTTCTTTCTTTCTTTCTTTGGGGTGGGGGGCTGTTAATGGTTTAGAGAAGAACCATAAATGAGAATCAAACAAGAAAACAAGCAAAAAGAATATGATCATCAACAAAACCACTCTCTTTTCTAGCTCTACTCATGTTCACCAACTTCACTTCACAATGGTTCTAAATGGGCTTCATTCCATTTCTCTCACTTCTTCCTTTGACATCTTGAACCTCTGGACGGTTTTATTAATTAGACCTCCTCGACGAAACTAAAACGACGATCAAAATCAACTACAAGATTGGGTTACGAGAACACGTACCGATTCCCTTTGCCTCAGATGTCCTCATGATCCGAAGTTTCTTAACCGAGTCGAGGAACATCCTAGCCAATGAAAACAGACATTAAAAGGAGGTAAATAAATGAACCATGAACTATAATCTTGTTTTTTCATGAGTGAGTGCATACTTCCAAGGAACATCTCCAACCAACAGCCAGTCTCCTTCTTTATCTTCGTAGGTGAGCACAAACTCAGAGGAGCCAGTGAGAAGTTTTGAAGGTTTTGGTGCTTTTTCGTCATAATCTCCACTCGAGCCTAACCACAAAGGAAAGACTAATCTCAGTTATCAACTATCCATCATCCATGGTCAGTTCGAGTTCAGGTCCCAAAAGAGAAGACAAATCCACATTTTCTTACTTTAGACATATAGAGAATGATATATACACATGAAAATATATATATTTTTGTGTGTAAATAGATAGTAAGGGTGTACGTTCAACCCGACAACTCAGATCAACCCAACCTAAATTAGTGGGTTGGCATTTCGGGACCATGTACACCCCTAATAGATAGATAGACAGATGGGCATGATGATCTAGAGAAGCAGCTAACCAGAGGATGGGGCACTTCCTGTGGGCTTAAAAAACATGTCCTCGAGCATCAGGGCCAAAGTCCCATAGCAAGAATGGGCATTCAAATCCACTTTCCTGCCTATTAGAACTCCGTCCATATACACCTTCACAAAGCCTAGAGGCCCCTTTTCAGTATCAGTGGCACTCATATTTTTGTCATCATGGATCTTCTCTGCAACACCATTGGACCTAAGCAGCTCCTTTTCATCTCCAGACTTTCGATTCTTAGCTTGGTTAACCAGGCTGTTGATTCTGTAAGTTCTTAATGGCGGCCACCCCACCACCTGACTGCTTCCGGATCATCCAAAAACAAGAACAAATAGAAAAACAGGCAATGGATCAGAATATGATTAACAAGAACAATAGAATAGATCATGATGATCAACTAGAAAGACAGGCTTTGATGAACATTAGAACAAAAAAGGTATTCAATTCATGTTATAGAAGATCCTATTAAAAGCCAACAGTTCATCGATTTCTATTGATACTTTAACAGGATTGCACACACCACACACTTCTAACAGTGCAACAACGAGACAATTTCTTTTCCACTGTTAACTATTAGGATTGAAAATTAAAAAGAACTAACAAACAGTTCAGGATTTCAGTTTGATGAATTTGGAATCGAAGATTCTAATAATTCCTTGTTACAATAAAGAGAAAAGTTCATTACTCCTGTTTGATCAACAACCAAAACATTAATATAATCAATGATAAACAGAGCATATCCCCCCAACCTGACAGCCGGAGGCGGAGAATCGCCATGGTGAGCAACAGGTTCCGCCGCCCTCTTAACACCAGAAACAGCAGCAGCTCTGCCTGAGAATCTAGCAAAAGAAGAAGAAGAAGACGATCCACCAGGAGAGATCGCCGAGGGAAAATCTTTGGCCGTCAATATCCTGCCACGCTCGCCCCATCCACCATGCTTACCCTTTCCGGTAGAAATCCCACTTCCGAGGCTGAGCCCCAACCCTAATTCGGGCTCAGCCTCAACAGGGGATGAAAACTCCTCCGATGACAAATCCGGTTGGTGCTTATCCACCTCCTTCGCCTTGGAAACGGAATTCTCATCGTTGGAGGCACCGGAAGAGCCAATGCCGCTGCTACTCAGTAAACCAAGGGGTGGTTCCATGGAGAGAGAGAATGAAGATAGAGGAAAACAGGGGGAATAGAGAAATAAATGGATGCGTTGTTTGAGGAAGAAGACTGAATGAGTATGAAGAAGAGGAGGAGGTGGGGGTGATGATGATGGGACCCAGATGTCTGGTAGTGCGGCTACCAGTGATGGCAGTTACCCACCATGGCTCTCCATTGTTGTCGACAAGAATTCCCCTTTTGAGCTGAATCTCAACACGATTCATGTCTCCTTCACGGATCTCTCTCTCTCTCTGTCTCTCTGTTTCTCTCTGTAGTCTGTAGCTGTACCTGCCATTGGAATTCTCCATGTTCTATCTTTTTTCAAAACAATATTATATTATACTTCAAACTCGAGGAGAATTTGAAAACCCCACTAAATACTTTTGTTTTGACATTAAGGGAAAAAAAAATCCAACTGGGTTCTTCGTTTTGAGGTAAACGGGAAGAATCAGAGCTTACACCACTCGAGATGTTGAAGTTCAGATTCTCGATAAATTTGAAAACATTTAATACATATATATATATCAATGAATGTAGTAGAAAGGGAATTTGGGTAGATATAGATACATAGATTCTACCCTAAATCTTGCTAAAACCCTAAAAGACAAAAGGGAAAAGAAATAGTAAAATAAGGGTTGAGAGTGAAATGGGTGTGTTCATCTTTGGTGGGGGAGAGGGCATTAGGGTTAGGGTTAGGGTTTAGGGTTTTAATATTGTGAAGGTTGTGGCTTTAAGAGACCAACCCCTTTATACTATTCTCAATAAATACTCCCTTCTCTTTCTCCCTTTTTACATGGTCTTCCACTTTCAAGACAATTCGCATACACTTGAGAGACCTCTAAGATATGCTTGCTTAGTGGGATTGTGGACCTTCAACACTATATATATATATATATATATATATATATATATATATATATTGTTTTTTTTTTTTTGTAGTAATATTACTAATTAATCGGGATTATAGTATGATATTGTTTAACTTTTAGCATAAATTCTCGTAGCTTTACTTTGTGTTTTTCCAAAATACCTCATATCAATAAATATAGTATTTTTTTTTATTATTATAAACTCATGATCATTTTTTAAATTAGCGATTTTTCATCTAACAAATTCAATTCGACTCTTATTATATTTTTTAAATTATTATGAATATTAAAAATATTGAAGATAAAGGAATGGTTTTAAATAATTAAAAGAAAAAAAAAAGTGAATAACCGGATGTGGACCTTATTTGGGTCCATTGGGCTTGAGGGCTTTTAAGATACCTCTCATTGGGCCCAAAACTGAGACCCGAAATATCGGCCTTAGAATAAAAACAAAACAAATGTGACTTTATTTGAAATTTCAATTTCATTTTCTGAGAGCTTCGATTACGTAACTTCTTTGTCTATTTTATTTTATTATTTTTTCGCGTTTGGGTCGAATTAAATTTGTAGAAAACTAAAAAAATTAGAAGTTACTTTTAGAATTATTATGAAAATTCAAATCATTTGTGTTTATCACAAATGTTATGTGATTTGAATTTCATAAAATTTTAGTTATTAATGCTATGTGATTTGTGAATAAAGAGGTCCAAGATGAGTTAACCCGTGTACCTTTGTAGATAGCTTAGGTTTTCCCTTTTGATCCATGAAGTGTTTGATCCATAAAGTGTTTGAAACATGTAGTCACATGCATCTTGCTATTTCTTACCAATTTCCTTGCCATTATGATGCAAAGCCTAACTTGCTAGAAAAATACGTTAAATCTCCTTCAAAGTGGGGTATTACTTCAATCTAAACAAAAGATTATTTTAATTCCTCAATCGAGGAACTCCATAAATTCCCAAGCTCCTTGGGATTTGAGCTGTGTGTGGTGCGGCAGCAACGCGGAAACGAAGATCAATCTCTTCGATGTTGCACTCCACGGCTTCGTTTTCCATCTACACTGATGATGAAAATCAAGAACAAGTTATGGGATTAGAAGAATTTGAGAAGGGCATCACGATTGAAGTGAACAAAGAAGCTCTGGGTAGTGGTAATGATTTCTGTTTTTCGAAAGGGGCTATGGGGTTGATTCAAGAAGAAGAAATGGAAGATGATGATGGCATGAACTCGATTGGGGGTTTTGACGGCGGCGAGTTTGACCTCACACCGGCCAGTCCTCCGATGTATCTAGCGGCAGGACTTGGATTGGATGCTTCTGGTCTCGGCGGTGCGTATGATTCTGTGGATTTTTTTGACGAGAAGATGGTGGATGAACCGCCCGCAATCCATCCTTCGCTGCTTCTGAGGAAATATGTGCAGTCCTTATGGGTACGTTCTTCTACTCGCCTCTGAAATTTTAATTCATCTGTGTTTCATTGTGATGTACTGCTCAATCTTCATGAATTGGATATTTTCACCAATCAATTATGCGTTTCATGCATCGAATTTCCGGCCGTTCTGCAAAAAACATGTTCCTGGGGTTTTTAAACTCCTCGTTCACCAATCAATTATGCGTTTCATGCATCGAATTTCCGGCCGTCCTGCAAAAAACATGTTCCTGGGGTTTTTAAACTCCTCGTTCTTTCAGAATCTCTCTTCAGCTGATTTGATCAATTCTTAAGTTATGAGGTGAAGCAGTGAGGCTGGATCTGTTCTGTGTAATAGTCAAAGACCGTCCCTACTATGTAGAGAGTCTAACCCTACTTCGACTAATGCCTTGCACCGTTCGATGATTGGCTCTACACAGATCGAGAAATGGTGTCAGAGCTAGACAACGGGCGGTGTGCCAGCGAGGACGCTGGACTTCAAGGAGGGTGGATTGTGAGATCCCATGAGAGGGGAACAAAGCACCCTTTATAAGAGTGTGGAAACCTCTCCCTAATGGACGTGTTTTAAAAACCATGAGCCTAATGATGATAGGTAACAAGTCAAAGCATACAATATTTGTTAGAAGTGGACTTAGGCGGTTAGCATGTTTTGTCGGTCGGTGGGCCTTTTGGTTTTTTTCAGCCGTTGTTCTATCAATCTTTCTATACCTACGAAAAATCTACTGAGACTTAATCTTAAAACTCTTAGTTAACACCATGTGTATGTGTTTGTTATATTGTGATAAAGTCGGAGGGAAAACTTGATGAAGCTGAGGAACAGTGCTATCAAGCTACAGTAACATACCCTGAAGATGCTGAAGTTCTGATGCTGTATGCTCAGTTGGTTTGGGAAGTTCATCATGATCAAGCTAAAGCCTCAAGTTACTTTGAACGTGCAGCTGTTGTTGCTCCAGATAACAGGTTGAATTCATTGGCAGCATAGTGAAATAGTTACCTCAATAACTAAATATCTGCAGATGTTCTTCATTAGATAATCTAAATGAAGTTTGCACTTCTAATATGGATCTTGACAACTCTAGTGTTTCCATCAGATGAACTGAATGTTTCCATTGCAGTGATATTCTTGCAGCACGAGCTAAATTCCTGTGGGAACTGGACGACGAGGATGAAACTATGGTGCTGTCATGCTTCCCTGCATAGTCTCAATAGTATTTTCAGAGCTAAGATGTATAACCGGCCTCATGTCGTGATTATTGCAGATACCGGGGGAAGAAGACGGGAACCCAGTTGGTAGTTCACCGCCCAAAGAAAGAACTGAACCAGTAGCTGACAATGGTGGGAGTGATATGCAGGAGTCTTATGAGAAGACGCTGAAGGAGAACCCCACTGATCCATTGCTTTTGAAAAACTATGCTCGGTTCTTGCAACAGGTGAGACTATTTGATTACCTCTGTGGCAGTTTGAGCACTAGTCGTTTGATTCATCTAAACACCGATAGACTCGTTTATCGTAGAGACTAGCATTGTTTGGAGATGTTGATCCGTGTTTGTTGATGCCTACAGTCCAAAGCAGATCTCCAAGGAGCAGAGGAATACTACCACCGTGCCATCCAAGCCGACCCAAGCGACGGGGAAGTGTTAGCACAATACGCAAAATTGGTGTGGGAGCTTCATCACGAGTACGACAAAGCGTCACATAACTTCGAGAGAGCAGTAGAAGCCTCTCCTACAAACAGGTACCATCAAACTGCAGATCATTCTTAGCTTTGGGTGTCTTTTGCTTGCATTAACAGTTCATTGCGTTTCATTTTCAGCTATGTTCTTGGAGCATATGCAAGCTTCCTTTGGGAGACGGATGAATACCAAGAGGAAGATGGCCAAAATGACTCTCAGTGGTCTTCAAACACAGCGACAGTTTCTGTGGGAAATGCTTGAATGTTAAGAACATGGCATACTCAATGATATAATGTATTAAGTGATGCACTTGAAGCGAAATAATATTGTTCTTGGTTGAATATCATAAGATCTGAAACTCAGCAGTCTTTGTTGGTGAACGAGGCAAATTTTGATTATATCTCTAAAATAATGAATATTAATTAAGCAGACCACAGGTGAAAAACAGAGAGTTTCATGAAATGTTGTTGAATCAAGAAACTCAATGAAAAAAATAATGAAATCCATATTCCCACAGACAAATAGCTTTAAACTGACTCAAATTATTCTTCAAAGTAAGGTGAGTGTGCCTCTGCTGAGATGATGATGATGATAATGCTAGAGAACCAAAACTTTTGCTTTGCTAAACGAGCTATGATGACTCCGATGGACTTTCTCCGTTTCTTGATACTTGATGGCTTAGGTTCTCTTTCTGCTGTCGAGTAGTCGGTCGATAAAAGCCATTGCCCCTTGGTCTGATGTACTCACGCTCGCTTCCATCTCGAACTCCCATACTGTAACTCCGAGAGCTATAATGCCCTCTAGAAGACTCGGTGTGGTAGCTCCCTCTTCCTCTACCCCTTCCTGATCACAGTTCAACATTTGGGAGACAGTTTACAAAATGGAATTCAGAACTAAAACTCGAAAAAGATCATGTCGTTCTTGCTTAAATCAAGAATCTATGCTACCACCAGACAGACAAAAGGCCAGCTTTGCTAATCAAATTAGTTTCACATGATTTCAGCAAAGCCGTTCACATGGTTTATCATATCAGAATATCAGTGGATGCATGTACTTTGAATTGGAAGATAAGTCTATCAACATCAAAATTCTGAAGAACACAATGTGCAAGGATGCTTACTTCCTCCTCGGTATGGGATGTTGCTGTTCGCTCTCCGCTCCTCGATGTATACTTGACGCCCAGCAACCTGGGCCGTACCCGCCTGGAAAGGCAAAAAAAAAAAAAGAACTATTAATCCGAATCCCTATTAATGTGAAGGTGTGATCTCTCAAACAGAATACATTCATCGTTCCATGGGATTATAAATTTGGTCA